ACATTGCCAACAAGTAGCGTGAGCAGAAAGCTCCGGAATCCTTGGCGCTGAAAACAACTCAACTCACCTCCGTCTGCCGTTCGTGATATTGCGAATATAACATACAGAATCGAATATTCTCCGTGATTTCTTCGCATGTTTCGAAGCTGCAACATGAGACTTCAGTTGGAAACATTCGTGACCTTCTGATCCTGGGATTTTCTGTATTCAAAGCTCCCAATATCAATCGACCCCTCCGATTACGACCAGAATCCCACTCATCCCTTCTCTTCTCCGGCCCATCTCTTTCCCCACTCTCTCCATCAATCCCTGCGTCCCTACCTCCCTTGCCCTCAAAGACGACTGCACGTCAACATCCACCTTCGGCAAACCCAGTCCCACCACCTCCTAACCCCTCTTGGTCTCCTCCTGCGTCCGCAAGATATCCTCCGTTGACCTTCTCAAGCCTGTCGCCGACAGTTTTTCCTTCGCTTTTTTTGATTATGCCTTAACAATTCTTCAACCTCCGCCACACCAGACCCCGGGGTAAGGAATACCTGCGGCCCCGTCTGGCTTTGTGTTTCGACTAGCGATCATAATTCTTGTTCGGATCATGGTTGCATTCCGTGGGGATAAGCGTAGAGGGAATGATCGCATGGGCGGCATGGGAGCCATCTTACGACGGACCGGTACACCTTTAACCCGTTATAGATGTCCCCCAGCTTTGGGGCATTGATGAGATTTGTGATCTCGCTGAATCGCGTCAAGATGAGGAAGACGGGTAAAGACTCAAATGTCCGCAAGTTGGCGGATAGCATACATATAAAACCATGGCCCGGGCTCCAAAAATCGACACTGCTCCCACTTATGAAGATGGAGATCACGCGCTTATATTCGCCGAAGGGGCCCAGCCAACGGCGATCACCCTGTCCATGACCTACAGCAACATAATACAAAGTAGTGTGCACCTTCCCATACCTCCATTGTCAAGCAACATACCAACCCTATCCGCTATACATATATTCGTTCATACACCCCCTTGCAACACACCCACACTCACCACAGCCATGGCATTCACAAGACTCCACCACTTCTTGCGTAGCGTTGATCGCCTTCACCTTCACCTTCGCCTTCGCCTTCGTCTCTTTAAACGCCACGACGCCTCGCGGATGTCCTACTCCAGAAGCTTCGCGAGTTCTACCTGAAGAACAAGGCCCGCAAGGGCAGTATCAAGTAAGAGCGCAAGTCCCTAGGAAGCGGTGGATCGCTGACGGCCCAGAAAGTCTCGGCTTGACGGCAGCCTACCGTCCGAACCCGGCCTTCAACTCTCCCCAGGCCCCAACGACACCCACAAACTATTCTCGAGGCGGCGCTCATAAGGCCACTGAACAGAAAGGGCGTGGATGACTGTACACTCTCTGGCCCTGGAAGTTGAAACAAGCCTCTTCGTTGACTCAGACGATGTTCTTAGGAGGTGGGTTTGGAAAAGGGTGAGGCGCGTGTTGGTGATGATGATGATGATGGTAAGCCAACCATTCCATCTAATGAGACGAGTGTTTACTAACCTGCGCTCGTAGTTGCTACTACCATCGACGAAGAGGAACAAGTCCGGAAGGATTGACGGCTTGCTACCATGAATTAGTAGCATCAGAATCTAAAGGTTCGAGAGACACCGATCTAGTACAATAAGATATGTCCATGATTCCAAAGAAAATACTCAATTTTGAAATTCCACTACGTCATGTTCCCGATTCGTGCAAGGGATAACGTTGTCAGCGCATTGCTCTTGAGAATAGGTTGTGGTCGTCCTGTAAACAGCACATTATATCAGTAGGCTTCTTTGTGCAACATGTCTGTTTGACTTGTCCCAGCATCTCACAGGTTAACTAAAGCACAGCAACGCTGGCGCAAATGTACCTCTCGATACTGTGGGAGACCTTACACTATTGTTCAATCTCTTGCTGCCCATCACCCCATTCCTTTCCTCCTTGCCAAGTGTACAGTCAGACCCTCACCCACGTGAAGATCTCAGCCGCCATGTCCACCAGAATTCTGGAACACGCAGTTCAAATACTGAGAATTGAAGACCATCCACACCAGGCGGGATACTGTCCAGCATACTGCTCGAGTCTCCATGCGCCGAGTCTCGAAACTCATCAACGCAGAAGCGACAGCGGTGCTCTACAAAGAGAAAACCTACCGCATGTACATTGGCTATCCCAGACCCAGATGCGCGTGTCCTGCGACCTGATCCAGAACTACCAACTTCCTGTCGACCTCCGGAATTCTATTGGCAATTTTGGCCGTCGTGAATTTCTCTGCACTCCATGGGTTTTCAGGCCCATCAAGATTTTCGGCGACCCTACTACTTGCCGAAAATCTATGGTCATAAACCTAGACCCCAATGTACGCCAGTCATCTCCCAAATCGAGACAAGATTTGGTGTTGCTTTTCGAACAGCCTTGTTGCTTGGTAGGATTCCAGACCGTCATGATCAAGTTCCTCGACGTCAGCCATGATGGGAGAGTGAGGATGAATTGGAGAAATTTCCATACAAACGACCGGAGACATGCTGGACCCGATACTAGGGCTGGCAGTCTGCTCCCGTGAAGAAGAGGGCGAGTGTCTGGAGTACAAACCATGGGACTTCGTCTCTCGTCACTGTCGGCTGTATCCGGTATGCTGGGCATATAGTGGTAGATCGCCACGCGGCTTCGAACAGACACGGTTCACGTAGCGAAATGATAAGCGCTTGGACATGTTGGCAGGAAAGATGGCCGCTTCAGAGGACTTGAAGGAGGAAGAAGGTTCAGACAACGAAGCCTCGGAGATGGTTGAATCAGAGGAATACTTTGAGTAGGGGATTTCCGATGATGAGGATGCAGCAGATGGAAGTGAACACGAAGGAATGGCGGAGGACTGTCTGGAGATTTGGAAACGTTGGAAGGAACGAATGTGTTCTTCGGCAATTCTAACATGCGATGCAGAAGATCCACAGAAATAGCATCTTACGCCGTCGCCGACCACCAAGACAATGCATCTTCACGGTTTGCATATTTCGCCTTTTTCCCGTGCTCTAGAGCATGCGGGGTTACCTAGACGGAGACCGAACGTATACTAAACATACCTTCCAGGGCTGATCCATGAATGCGAAAGCAATGGTAGCACTAGCCTTGTCTTTCCATTCTCATTGAGGGTGATGCTGCTAGGTATTTGACACTGAAGTACTCAGATGGCTCCTCGTCCAAGCCAGCCCAGAAAGGAGATCTGTTTCAAGGGTAAGGCAACCGTGTCGTGCCTCACATTCTTTTATCCTCTGTAAAACCAGAATCTGCCGGCAACCGAAGAGGCTCACTGCCTGCTCCAAAGCGTGTGAACGAAAGCTGAGCATCTTTCCTTCGCAATCCCCTTTCTCCACAATCATATTCAAACCTATTCGATCGAGACCGCTTTTCCCTCACAACATCGCTCTCCTCCAACTTCTATCCCGAGACCCAAAAATACCTCGACATCTTCTCTTCGTCCCGGAGAGCGCTTCGCCAATTCCCCACTATGGCTCCTATCCTCCGCCCTGAAGCACACCAAACACTCGAAACCCTCATACGGAGGGACTGGCCTCAATGGAAGCAAGCATGTAATGTATTGAGGGCAGCCGAAGCCGCCAAGGAGCATGTCGATCCCTGCATTTATCGAGCCGATCTCTCGGGTGGGGAGAAATGTCCATGTCATCAGTTGCGCACATATACCTTCAACGGATGGACTGCGGAGCGCACATCTAGCTACAAGGGAGGTTGAGAACTACTTGAGATTGCTCGTGGACGCTGACTGGTTCTCACAGGAAGCCATGGGATATGAGGGCACGAATGAGGAATTGAAGGAGGCCATCGCCCAGGCTCACCGAGAAGTAAGCCAGACATCCAGGTTTTGGGTATTATTACAGGTGGCATGACGGGTAACAACAAGATACAGATCTACCAGACGCTAGAAGCCGAGGATGTTGCGAACGCTGCGAGTACTCAAATGCCAGGTCGAGCACCATGATTACTCGGTGGAAATCGCGGAATTAGGCAAGGTTGGCATTTAGTACCCAGCTTCATACATACCTAGCGTCTCGACCGCGGACCATCGAAACGGGAACCTGCTGGAGGGATTTGAGTGAGGAGCTGCGATTTTCCAGCCGGTATCGTACTGAAAGCAGAACGACACTTGGAAAGCCGGCTCAGAGAATAGCTCCGCCGTGAAAGCCTCTTAGATACCTCAGCGTCTTAGAATTCGCTGTAAGCGCTGAAATTGCATACTGGAGACCGAAAAAGGGCTCGGTAATGCCGTCATGAGCTCATACTCCTTGTCAGAGCATATGATCACCTTTAAGATGCGACTGCGAGCTGTGTCTCGCGTCTATCTCTACCAAGTGTTTGCCTTTAATGCCTGCACGATGCAGAAGAAGTCCACACCAAGGTCTGCACCTAGAGGCGCCCTGTTCTCGTTTGATCGGGATCAGTCTGGAACCAGTGGCTGTTGAACAACGAGATGGTTAGGTCTCGTATATATGCTGGTGGCGGAAGGATGCTCTGTCGGTTAGAATGACTTAGTAAAATTGTACCATACGCGCAGATGCAGCACCCCGTCTAAGGTGGCTTTGTTCTTTTGCAATCCGACTCACCCGGAACGACCATCCAGAGCCTACTTAAGAAACGAACTCTTCCCTCCAACAGTCCAATCACAAACAGCCCAGCGGATCACCATCCCATTCTTCTCAGCTGGCAAAAGAGATCGTCAACCCGGACCAAGCTTCTTCTTTACTCTCGAGTTCTTACGTCTAGACCCTAGGCCCGTACCCACGCACACATTTCTCTAGACAGACAGATTCTACACCCCTGATTCGCAACATCTATTCAAGATGTCCAGCACCGTGACTCTGACTTGGGCAATCCCAGGGGACGCCCATCTGCCGGGCGCCAGACTGGAAGCCTATGTGGAGAGCAAAGCAACAGTCTCCACCCTGAGACTCTGCCAACAGAATGGGAGTCCCTCCGAAACGCCTCTGGCCAAACTCCCCACCTGAAATTGTGGAAGAGATCGTGGGACATGTTCAGCTTCTGCTCGTTAAGACGTTGCTTGAGAAGCGATTTCGAGAGTGGTTACAGGTCACCAATTGCCTGGACGGCTGGTGCCATGCGTCGGTTTTTGAAAATGACCACTATGAAAACTACCAAAAAGATCTTAACCATCATCTCGAGGAAATCAATTCGCAGACACAGCAGTCGATGGAGGGAAAGGGATTCGCCAAGGGTCGCAAGGTTCGAACATGATCCTACTGATCGCAGCCGACTTGCTGATAACGTGAGATGTTCGCGCAAGACTTCGGTCTTGAGATTGACTTCGACATCATCCCCCGAGTGGGACCAAGGGTGCATGCCCTATAGGACAGTCGTTCTTGGATACATTAACCCTTCCATTGCTCCATTCGAACATCAAGAAGTCTAAAGGGCCAGAGGTAGCGTCGGTAAATGTTTCGGAAGCAGCTTTCTGTACCGTGAGAGAAAGCACTGAAAATGAGCGCTGTGGCAGTATTTAGCCTCAGAATTCCTCGAACCATCACTCCTGACACCACCCACCACCGACCAGAAAGCTCTATTTCAAATAGCAATGAAGGCTTTGCATCTCAAGCCGATGTCTCGAGAAGACGGAGTTCGCGAAGCTGGGCTCTTATATCCTCCAAGCTTTACCACAGAAGAGCAAGGCTCCTATGCATGCACCAACGTCGACTATCTCGCACAATTTGACACCGCAGTTGACCTTCACGCCCACTATGTCACAGTCCATGGCAACATTCTCGCAGACTCTCAAGAAGGCTCAAAAAACTCTGATGGTAAATAAGGGATTCTCAACATTCAACACTTGAGCATGATATTCGCAGGATCAACAACTGCAGACTCGAAAATCGATGAATGGCCAAAAGCAATGATCCTATAAACTAGATTGCTGGCTGCAGGTCGGTACTACGATAACAATGATGATGAAGACTGAAGAATTGAATGGAGAGGCGGATGCAACAGATTCCAGGGTGAAAGCCTTCAGGGTTTTCGCATGGGCGGTAGAGGTCTTTCGCACAGAATTTCACAGCGTGGAAGAGTGACCGGCTCTGCAGAGTCACCTGTTTTAAAAGACATTATTCAGTACCGTTGCCCGAACATAACTATCTAGTATGACTTGACCCCACCACCTAATGTAACCGAAAAGACCCAAACCAACCTCATATCCCCCTTACAAATCCGTCACATGTTCGTCTCAGTTCGAGTGTTAAGGACAAGAGACCAAGAGTTTGCGCCAGCCATACTCTCATCGGAACATCGGCCTGCATTCCCAAAGCCAGGTGCTGTGAGCACGCGCTGTCCTTAACCCTTTTGTCCAGAAAGCAGAAAGATACCGGCAATTCTGGCGCAGCGATGGGGAACGGAAAGTCGGAGAAGCCACGTTTGACGTGGCCTATCTTGAGAGGTATAATTTCATGAAAGTTCTTCGTCCCTAGGAGGTATCGGGTCCACATCGCCTCCATCAGTACTACGTCCTGTTCCTCAGCGAGCGCTACCAGCTTTTGATACTGCTCGCGTTTCACAGTGACGGACTTCTCGAGAAGAAAGACATTACGCTTGTTGTGAAGAGATGTTCGTATATAAAGGTAGTGGAGCGGGCGCGGCGTAGATACGTAGACGATGTCAAATCTAACTTTTGCCAGCATTTCTGGGAATGAAGAAAAGATCTTGATTTTGTTTGCCTTTGGAACGTTGTGGTCTTTGAGCCATGATGTTGCTCGATCTTGGGATCCAGTCGCAGAGAATGTAACCAATTCATGGCGAATTGGGTCTGTGTCCTCGCGCGGTAGTAGCAGATCAGCTACAGAAGTCTCCGCTATGGCTCATAGCCTGAAGAAGGCCTAGCTGTAGGTGAATATCTCGCCCAGTGTTCCAAAGCCTGTGAGGTAAAAAGGTTCGCGAGGATGCAGTCGTGGGTAATATGTCAGCAAGACGTTGTGTCCAGCATGAAGCTCTCTTGCTTCAACGTCATACAACAGAGAGGGGGGGGGGGGGTTCTTTGCGTCTTCCGAGGCTTCGCGAACCAATCAGAGCGCGGGGACTGAGAGAGAGAGCGTTATTTCTCCGTTCACCCAAAGACAGCCTTCTCCCTTCTCTCTAATGCACTCGAGCTCTCATTCTAGCTAGGACTCAGGTGAGTTTATTGCAAAACTTTCCACGCCAGCTTGTCAACCGCTTGCTCGTGATAAATCATCATTTCTGCTGTCACTATTGCCGAGGTTCGAGCTCCGCGAAAGAGTCGGAGTTGGTCTATTTGGCAGAACTGTGCTTGTTCGACGTGTTCCAGGCGTCTGCTTTTGCTCGATAAAGTCAGCGTGCCATGCGGAAGGTACATCTCTCTGAGAGGCTATATCCAAATCGGTCAAGAAGCTGTTGACCTCTTTGTTAAGTTTTTTCCTTCTCATCCTTGCAGCGGTATCGTCCTCCGTTTCGACAGCATCAGACTTCAAGAGTATCTGTGCCAGAATTGTCTCGCTGATCTTTCTGTACTCAAAGTCTCTCTTTCTGGGGTCAGCAGGTGTATTGGAGATGAACTCAAGTCCTTGAGGGACGAGCTCAGTACGGAACTTATGAGAAAGGAAATCAATATCCTCAATCGGCGTCCTTTTGACAACACACAGCACCTCGCTTCTCATTTTCAACCCTTCTTCATGGCAGGTCCTGGCATCGGTTTTGAGGGTCTTGCCCTGGTAGACCAACGTGACTCTGCTGGCGTCTTCAACGTCAAACTCTGTCGCTGCTTGTTGCCGAAGGTGCCCAACTAGTGTCAGTCCCTCCGCGAGCGAAAAAGCAGGAAACTTCAATTTGTACAATGAGCCTTTGTGCCTCACGACTATGATGTCGGGTTCGTCATTGCCTGGTTCGTCTTCTGAATCCATCTCAAACTTGCTTTGATAGCTTGTAGACTGTGGTTCGAACGGATCAGGCGTTTGCAAAGTCGGATCTGCTTGAGTGAATTCGTCAGACTTCCTATAGGATTTTCGATAATGAGGTTTAGGACCACGTTCAGCTTGCCGCTTCGCGCGCCATGCCCGTCTTGAGGTTTCTGCCCTAAACTTCGGGTTTGAGTCCAGGAGCTCGGGTGGCTCTCCCACTGGCACCGTCCTGTAATCGTCGACGTTCTTGGCATTTTCACGGGGGACTTCTGGTCCCCCGCTCTTCAAATCGGAATCTCCGCTGGCTCGGCGCTCTTCTTGGCCCTCTGGTGGTATGAACTCTCTGTCAACCTGGGTAGCGATCTCTTCAAGCCTGCGGCTCGACAGAAGACGATCGATTGCCCTCTGCGACGTTTTCATAGATCGCCCTATGCGTGATCAAATTAGCCTTGGCAACATGGGCACACAACAATCCTAAGCGTACTGTCCCCAACGACAAGCGATAAAGGATATTTCATACCTTTTGGTAAAGATATCTTGGTCCACTTCGGCCGGACTTCCGCATCTTTTATGACTTTGACAAGTGTTTCGGTATCGATTGAGGAATTCTTAAGAACCTCCGCAAGGAGAAAACGCTGTAAGCACAAGGTGGTTAGCAGTGCAATTCTGATAAGTACATTGGCACTTGGAAGCGCAGCTATATCCATTAGGGGCCTCACTTCCTCATCCTTGTCCAGAACTTCTTCATCGAGAACCTCATCTGAATCGTCGGATTCCCAGCCCATCGCGTCATCGTTCAAGGCGAAGTTGGGCCGAGCCGATCGTTCCTCTGTGTGCGCGGTCATAACATCCTGAAAGGTTGGCAATCTGACTGTATTAGCACGCATGACTCGACAAATGTCTTGTCCAATCTCCACCGCAGGAATAACATATTCCTCGCGAAGTCCAGTACTTCCAGCTATAATCATGCCATACACATCTCCTGTTGTAGCATCTACGACCCAAGATCCAGAATCGCCAGAAGAAAGGCTTTCCCCAAGTTCGACAGACCAGACACGCCGGTATCTGTTATCTCGCGGAAACTTGATAGCGCAATCCGAGCCGGTGCCAATTCCAGGCACGGCACCTCTCCGCGTTGCCACCAAGATCTTACCAAGTGGGGGCGTAGACTTGATGTTTCTGAACAGGAGATGCTCGGGCATTCCAGCGCTTCGTAGTTCTGGATGTAAGTAGACTCCATTGATTGCGTATTTGCCCCAATCACCAAGCTCACACAGTGCCCAGTCGAGTCCCTTGGCACTGGACAGTCGGGATTTGGCTGTGATGTGAAGAGAATTCCAAGCCTTGGTGTAATATGTCTGGTCTTCAACGATCCTGCTTCTCCGTTTCCGCTGTAGTCGGCGCTCATGATGGGGTTCCTGGGGTGGATCCAGCCCATCATTCTCACCACCATCATCACTAGAGTCCTCGTTGGCCCAATCGCTATCGTAAAGTGGAAGTTCTGTTGTGCTTCCAGAGAGGCTTCGTTGGCCGAAGCCCTCATCTTCTTCAGTGAATGCATGTGCGGTCGTGAGGCCAAAGCAAACATCATCGACCATGATAAAGCCACCCAAGGTTGTGGGCCTACCCGAGTCTGGAACGATGATCTCTTCCGCACCAAATCGAAGAGGTACGTGCTCCTCATCTGAGGTGTCCATGTCATGCTGCACCGGCATTGTCTCCTCCAGAAGCGTCATTGCCTTCAAGCTCTGCTCCAGCTGTTTTCCCTCCTCGACTGTCTTCTCATGCGTTTCCTTCTTTTGGTCCTGCTCCTTCTCCCCCATTCTCGCCTGATATTGTGTGCCATGCTCATGGTGGTCCTCAGAGCCGAGTCGGCGGACACGTATGGGATAACCGTGATCATCACGTCTGATGTCGCCATTTTCGTCGAGAGTGTAGTCCTCTCCACTTAGAAAAGAAACTCTCCGATCCATCCGAAGTCTCAAATCACAGAAAGGTATCGCTTTTAGCGCAAATTTCGCAGCCTTTAGGACTCCATGCTGAGATACAACTCGGTAAGTCCTCTTCAAGACCGTAGACTGGTTACAGGATATCACGACTGTAGGCTGCGCGCATGTTTTGTCGTGTCCTAGCATCCAACAATGACGCAGCGTTGCAGTACCCCGAATACTGCGGCCTTTGTATATCTCTCCTTCATTCTCACGCAGTACCTCTCCCACTCGATCCCTCAGATCCTGATGCCATCTTTGTAAAGCCAACCCAACCAAGACCCATCGCTGCCGACCACCAAGGTCGCTCAATTGATCGCCGAAAGAGTTCTCGAATGCGGGATCCGTGCGCTCGCCAGCAGCGAGTGGTGCCTTGTTCTTGAGAGCGAGGATCTTTTCACGAAATCCTGGTTTCTGGTATTCACTGGAAGTTATGGATGCGAGATCGGAGGCCATGTCCAACTTAAGAAATTGTCTCGAAAGACCCGTTGGATGGAGACATGGGTGCGCAAAGACGAGTTCGTGGGGTTGTTCGTAGCGGTCTGGGCATGATGGTCTGGAGTACTCATAACTGGACGGCCACAGCCTCAAAGCAAATGGCAGAGGAAGCCCTTCTCATGCTTTCTGGGTAGGATCCTTGTAGTAGCTGTTAGCCTTGCTCCGCCTTGTCCCTGGAAGAGTGAGCACTGAACACAGAAAGTGTGGGGATTTCCACCGGCGGCTGGCTGAAGGAAGGGACGATCTGCCGCCGAGCCCCCACGCCCCCTTACGGAAGCACCCCGGCTTACGAGTCGCTCGAAGTTCGAACTTCGACGCATGTCAGAGGAACGTCGATTATAGATTTGGATCAGCTCTGTTTAACGGAGACAGCAGATATGTCATTCATCTCGGCGCCAAGCCCTGAGCCAGACCTCCATAAG